CAATATGATGACTGCAACTGTTATCATTCTGGTCTCATCAACTTGCTTAAAATTATTTTTCTAATAAAATGTCCAAATATAAAACAGGTGTGCCAGAATCTGTTGTATCTCTAGTTTTATTCAATCTCATTGGGATATATCGTATCGACATAAGAATGGAAATAACCATTATAGTTAAATAAATTGATAATACGTCGTCGATATCTTTATTTCGAGTTTAAGGCCACAACAAGTGTTTCTTTTCATTTTTAAGACTTTGGACAAGTTCTGCTTTATAATTATGAACACAAAATCAAGTCTGCTAATAACAGGGACTAATTTAAGGTAGGATTCTTCTCTGGTTTCTGACTAGATGAAACATTCAAAGTAAACTTGTTTATATGTCTTATATATTTAGGTGTAAGGGATTTAAAAGACCACATTTTTCTTTCCTCATCACAATTGTACAACTGTGTTTGAAGACTAACAGGGACTATATTTTTGGCGGAATGATGGCGTATGAAAATATCTTCTTTTCTGCCTCTCAAAATTATAATAGAACAATGAATTTAATTATAATTTTTACACAATCAAAGACTTGAAGAAATTTTCAAATGTAAGTTAAATTAATTATAAGGGACTAAACTTTCAAAATATATCAAGTAAATATGATTTTCCAAACAAACTAGAACTATGTTAGCTTTTAAACGCTTCAACTTAAAGTACAGATCTGAGCCAAAAATCCATAAAAAGTATTATTTCTCTCTTAATAAACGATCAAAACTTTTTGTTTTTGTATCATTTTGTACATTTGTAAGACTAATTTATTATATGTGAAAATAAGAAAAAGTTAAATATTGGAAGCATATGAAAATAACTAATGTATCCTACAAAATTAAGAAAAACAGAGAAAATTCGGATTAGCCAATATCCAGTATAGTTAAATTATTTATGTAAATTTGATAATATCATGCTATAGACCCAATATAGTAACATCTTTTTATGCAAAAAGAACAATCTTTAAACTTTTGAAATAGAAGTAGGCATCACATGATTGGCAACAGTATTTTTTATTCTTAATGTTAAGGAAAAAGATAATGACCTTGACCTGACCTTGCCTCTAATATAAAACGGTCAAATTTAATTTTAGTGATACCATTACCTGATATTGTCGTCTTGATTCTGTGGAAATTTCATTAATTTTTAAATACAAGAAGTATGAGAAGAATCCTACCTTAAAAGGATTATAGTGCTAAATTCGATAGCGAAAATTTAATGAGCATCTGAATGACAAGGCTTCATATTAAATCTAGCAGCAGCTTGGACTTTCAGTGGGTGTGATATGCGTATACTATATTTACTTGAATTAAAGTTGACTATATATTTGTACTTAAAAAACCGTTCGCAGCTAGAGGACAACCAATTTTCCTTTGGATTGATTTGTACAAACACTTCTTCCTATAATCAAAGGGTAAAGGTGTATGTCATCTTGTTTGTCAGCAACATCTATCAGTAGGAATAAGTGCAAGTATGAAAACGCCCTCTACCAGTGAAATATGGAGATAACAAACAGTGCTTAAGCTCAAAATCCATTTAAACAAATGAAAACAAAACAGGAGCAGAACAATCATGAACCTCCAAAAAACCACGGGAGGTGGGGGGGGGGGGGGGTGGGCAAATGTCATCGAGATGTAAGCATTCCCTGTCGACTGGTGACGCCGGCCATGTCATGGTCGTGTAAAGTAAAAATCAATGTGTATAAATAATGACCTTACAACTACAATTGGTCAGTCAGCATTTGACCAAATGAAAGATCATATTTGTTGACAAGGTCATAATGTACCAAACATCATGGTTCCTTTTGGTTCCTGGTGGAACATAGGGCCTCGGCAACAGTTCTCCATCGCACCCTGTTTTGGGCAGCCCTTTCAGTTGTTCCCAGCTATGTCCACATTGCCTGATCTCCTCTTCACATGACCTTCGCCAAGTTTTCCTGGGACGCTCAACTCCTTGGGGGTTCCACTGTGTGGAGTGTAATGTCTCCTGATGGTTTTCGGAGGGTATGTGCAATTCACCGCCACTTTCTACGGGCTATTTGTTTAGTGATTGGGTCTTGATTAGTTTTTTTCCCACAGATTCTTGTTGTTTATAGTTTCTGGCCATCTGATGTTTAGTATGTGGCGCAGACATCTGTTTGCGAAGGTTTGTAGTTTGTTGAAGGTGGTGTTGGTGACTCTTCATGTTTCAGACCGGTAGAGGAGCACAAACTTAACATTGGTGTTATAGATCCGGATTTTTATGCGTGTGGACAGTGCTGTTGAACTTCACACAGACTTGAGGGTGATGAAGACGTGTCTTGCTTTATTAATTCTTGCTTTTATGTCTTCATCTGTTCCACCAGTGGCTGTGACGATGCTGCCCAAGTGTGTAAAGGAGTCTACATCTTTAAGGTTGTGCTCTCCAAGCGTTACTGGTGTTTGCTGTTTGTTGTGGAGCTGCATTACCTGTGTCTTTTCGATGTTCACCTTTAGAGCTGCATGTCTTTGCTGCTTCTTTTGCAAGCCTATTTGTCTTGAGCTGCATATTCTCATACTTCTGAGACATGAGGCATAGATCGTCTGCAAAGTCGAGGCCTTCTCCTTTCTTACTATTATCTTTAGTTGTCTTCTGCATGACCCAGTCCACTACAACTAGAAAAATCATTGGTGACAGTAAACAGCCTTGTCTTACCTCTGTCTGCACTTCAGACGCTTCCGTAAGCTTTCTATTGTGGATAACTTGGCATGTTGCTTCGTCATACAATTGTTGTATGAGGTTGATAAAGGTAGGAGGCGTTCCATAATGCTGTAGCAGTTACCAGATGACTTTTCTATCAACACTATCAAAGGCCTTTTCAAAGTCTATGAAGTTCAGATACAGTGTTGACTGCCACTCCAGTGACTGTTCGATTATTATACGTAGAGTGGTGGCGATCTGTACAGGACTTGTCCTTTCTAAAGCATTTCTGGGAGGCATTAGCAGAATCTGCAGATGTTATACATGAACTTAAATGTGGAAAGTGGACGATTGAAAAATTGAAGTCATCACAATCGTGATGTTTGGGTGTAGGTTACCATTAATTTCTTTATCCAGTAAATATCCAAATATGAAACAGATGTGTTAAACTAAATTGTTTTTAGTCTCAAGTTTACTGGGATATATCGAAATGACATACGAATTAAAGTAACTATTGTTTATTGAAACTAGTAATACTTCGTCGGTATATCAATTATTTTAGTTAAAGGTCCCATAAAGTGCTTTCTTTTATCTGGAGTACAAGTTTTTCAAAGACATTTGCTTCATATGAACACAAAAATAGGTCTACTAATAACGAGACTCATTTGGTACCCATGTGAATAGAATATTGGAAGACCTGATATCCAAAAACTACATACTAGATATTGTCAACCAGAAACTCAGAATCTTTTTCTTATCAATTTTTAAATATTTATGTGTACAACTTTAAGTTAAAAAGACGTTATTAACAAGGTGTTTAATACCAACTGTAATCATACAGTCTACCTTTTAAGCGTCCATGAAAACTGTAGATGGTAATTCATAAATGCCATGTATGAACAAGTATGAACAACGTAGCCCCATCCAAGACATCTGGACCGTACGACAGCAGTAAGGAATTTCATATCTTTTGTGTACAGTTAGGTATTAATTATTATCAAGGAAACTGTTTGTCTGTTAGGTGCCCATGGGTACAAAAGATTTTCGAGTATGTAAGGTTAGTATTCAAAGGTTTCTTAGTATGTAAGGTACATGTGTTTTTAATATATGACCAAATGAGCCCATTCCTAGGCCTGAAACAATGAACACACCTGTCAGTCATCATTGAGCTATAAATACCACAACTTTGTAGAAGAGAATGTTTAGTGTTCATTATAAATATGAAAATGGTTTGCTTATCAGATGAGCACAAGGAGAGAAGTACCACAAGATACAATCGTTTTTTTCAATGTATAACTAACTTTACCCCTGCAACGGAATCCTAGGGTCATGGATGTCACAGTTCTAGTAATGGGTTTAGTGTTTATTATCATGTCAACGATTTTCCTTTGTCTAGTAGATATACCGGTATGTTTTGAAAATTTTAAAGGTTTCTGTCCTTCTCTGAGGCACCAAGGAGACAATATCGATAAAATTAATATTTTTTTTCCATTTGCCCTCAGATTAATCAGCAAAATTAATTGAATGTGTTGTAATTTTTACAAAAGCTCAGAAGTAAACAAAAGACCCACAAAACCAGACAATGGACAAAAACATAATACACTAATATATGAGTGTCTCATGTCACCTACTTTTTTGAAAGTTAACTAAACAAAGTTTCTTTCAAGCAGTGTGTTAATGTTTGTAAAACATTTTAACAACTAACACAAATAACATACTGTAAACGTATTAATTTACATTTAGCGGTGTATTCTATTTAGCGATTTTGGCGGAAAGCAGAGTCCGCTAATTCAACTACATCGCTAAATGTCTTGAATATTAACTTTTATGACTAGCAAATTTAGATAGCGCTAAATCAAATCCACGCTAACTTGCTGAAAATTGAATTTCCGCCAAATATCGTACACGCCAAATATAATACATTTACAGTATTTCTGGACTTAATTTTTGAATCAGTAGAATTTAGATAAAACAAATAAAATCCAAAGAAAATTAAGAAATATATTCTCTCTACAGCTGTATATTCATTTATGTATTTCAATTCTACAGTATTTTTTTTCTAATTTTTTTTTACAAATGTTAAAATCAAAATATTTTGTAGTCAAAACAATGTATGTTTAATAGTATATAAAAGAATACACATATGATACAATATAAAACATGGCATACATTCAAATAATGAAAAGTATTACAGTCAAGCTTTTCTTGGCAACAGAATATGCATGATTTAATTAATCATAAGTTTGCATTTAATTAGGTACAAAAGCAGTAAAAAATTGTCATGTTTTCTGATTTCAGTGTATGTCTTTTTAAGCACAATGACAACAGCTTGAGCAAACTTTACATATCTGAAACCCGGATGTCTTGGAAAGCTAAAACTGACAATGCACCAACACACTGTTTGTATAGGAACTAATAAGTTTCGCTACGTCTGTGTTTACACTTTACAAGGAAATTATTTCTGTTATGATCCATCCTGGTTGATAAAGCTAAAACAAATTTCCTTAATATATCTTATTTTTTTTTACAAAAAAAAATGGCATACACTGTATATGTCATGATTAAAATTAAAAATAAAATCTTCCCCTTAAGTAGGTGGATCTAAACTCTTCTTCTTATGCAATTATACGTACATGTATTTCCACATTACTACACTTCTTCGTTATATTATGCACTTGTATTAAGTAAACTGCAGTGGACACTGAAATCTATGAGTTTATGAGTAATGTTTGAGCTTCTTTGTAGAAATGCTTCTTTTATAGCAGGAAGTTGGTTTGTTATGTCCAGTTCAACACTTCACCACAACAAAGAATTCAACTCCTTTCCCCTTTGCCTTAAATTCTTGTGGTGGTACATTAGTATGAAGTTATGAAGGGATACATTATTGGTGTATTTGAGCTCTATCTTCTTCTCATTTGAACTTCAGAGAAATCTATATCATCCTCATCCTCAAAGTCCCACTGATTGGCCTTTTTAATAGTTGCTACTGCTGTTACTATGGACGCCGCTATGGTGACAATTCCCGCCAAAATGCAAATTCCCCAAGGGAATCCTAGTGTCTGCAGGTCGGGTTTTAGATTGGTAGTCAATTCTTTGTGCAACGCTACAAATACTATTGCACCTCCAAGTATAAATAAACCTGAAAGAGAATTTTAGAAATACATGTTACTAAACAACAAGTTCATAAATTATTAGCAAAACATTTCATGAAAATATGCATAAATTTACCAATGAATAAACATTTGAAACTTCTCTCCTATCAAAGATTTGATCAATTTTCCAAGCAAATGTTTATATGAACATTAAAACATAATTATTAATTGTACCTTATTTCTTTTTCGTACATTTAGTATAAGATATTACAAATTTAAAATACTGTACTTACTTGAGGCGCCCAGAAGGTAAATAGAGGCAGATCTGTTACAGTCGTATCTTATACACATGTATAGGAGATGGAAAATTAAGGACAGGAAGTTCAGCAGAATTCCGAAGGCACCAAAGGCACGGGATATAAACAGCCATTCTGAAAATTGTCAAAACACAGATTTTAAGGAGACAGTAATCATTGTAATTTAAATTTATTGATAAGATAAGTTTGGACCCTTTCTTTGATAAGACTGTCAAAGATACCTCTCATCAATGATAGATACGATTTCTTGAAATAGAACACTAATTTTATTTTCTTTACTTTCTCATATATATAATTTTGTTGTTGACCATTTTAGTAACATTTTAGAGTGCATCTTGAAATATGGAGATTATGAACAGTGATCAAGCCTTAAACTCCGTTGTAGAAAAACCCATAGAGAGCTAGCTGAGCAAAAAGGAACCTTTCAAACACCATAGAGGAGTGAGAGTCCCCTATTTACGGGTAATACCTGCATTAGAAAATTCAGTGTAGATAATGGCTTAATATTATATAGCAAGTAAAAAGTCAGTTAGCATTCGACTTTATGATAGATAGTTTTTGCTGACAAGGTCATTGTATTCAACAAATATTTGTAGAACTCGAAATGATGATTTTTATCAAACAGTTGAAATCCTTTTTTTCATCAAATTGTTCATCAATAGCTTGCCTCATTTTAGGAATTGTTGGTAATTAGAGTATAACACTCTTCTGTATTGAATCAACTGTGTGGCATAAAAACTCCGTAAGCAGGTGATCATATATTTCTACATAAATGAGGAAAGCTGTGGAAAGACAAATCATAAAGTATTGTTTGAGGTTACGATTAATGTCTTTTTAATGGTAAAAATCTTAATATAAGTTATACATTGTATGTGTCAGACTCTTTAAGTGATATATCACATCAACATATGAATGCAAGTAAGACTATTATTAATTGATAAATCATAAATCGTCATCGATTTATCTAAATGTAGCTTTGAATACAACAGCAAGTGTTTTCTTCTCGTGAATTAGTTTTTGAAAAAAAAAAAATTCAAGGTTGGCGGCCACGCCATATTAATTAAGCTTTTCCAGGGGAACTTGACTTTTTTTTTTAATATAACTTAATGATTGAAATTCAGTCTGTCTTGTATAGTGTTCGTCTGGTAAAGATCAATTCAGAATTCCCTTCTCACATAGAAAATCTCATTAGTGTTACAAACATTTCTATGTCAACCATGCATGTAAGAACTGAAAGTTTACACAGTCTTGAAGCAACAAAGTGTCATTATAATAATCATATAAATAAATAACGAGGGAAGCTTGGCTGTATCTAATGTTTTAGTCTGATAAGAAATGCTTAGTAAATAGACTATGCGAATATATTCACAAGAAAGATGGTTCGTATAAGCGTTTTTTTTTCAAATACTTGTATTTTCTCTGGATAAAAAATATTATAAGGTCAAGGACGGTAAAATCAAGATAGCTGCTGGGAGAAGCTTTAGATTAGGCAGATAACCTTAATTTCTGGTTGTTTTAGGACCCGTTTAAAGGGGATCTTTTCTATAACATTAACTACTTAGAGGAACATGATCCCGCTCATGTTAACATCACAAACATTCCTGAAATACTTTGCTCCAAAGAAGAGCAAGATGAAAAACTGTTCTAAAATCTAGCTTATCCCCTTTGATCTAAGACATCGTTTTATACATGTATGTCTAATTACGTATTAGTACATTATGGCTAAATATATAATTGAGATGGAAGTAAGATTGTGATCCACTTATTTTTTCCGTCTTATTATAAAGTTTGACATAAGATTTTGTACATGTATTTATTTGAATGCCGCTCAATAAGGAAGACACCAGCATATCTGATGATAAAGTGGCTTTAATTTATTCCATGAACATAGTGAAATATAAGAGTGCAGGCTCTACATGTATACATTAATTCTGAGGACAGAAATTTTACACCGCTTCAGTTTTTGTGGTATTTGTACTTAGTCTGAATTACTGCATTACAAAATAAGTTACAATTTCCGCCCTTACTCATAACACTCACTTATAATGGGTTATGTAGATAAGCAGGAAATTTATTTGCAAATAGTGTGCCCCGAATAAGTCGTTGAACTTCAACGCATTTTTTCATGAAAAATACGATTTAAAAAATCAATTTTAATTTAATTTCCCGCTTTTATTTTAGGGTTTTAGATATAAAACGACAACAATTGAACAAAAACAAATTCACAAATGCTATCATTTACTGCCTGTTTGTTTTGGTGAAGATACGAATTTTTACCCGAGGACATCTGCAAACGGAAGACTTTTCCCCCATCGCATTATCAACAAAGAAAATTGAGTGTAAAGATGAACATTGGGCGACAAAACATGTACTCAGTATAAAATGTCAGAGATCAAACAAAAGAATGACTGGTACATCATTATGTTAATCTCTTAATACAGTGGAAGTGATTTAAAGTATCGCTTACTTGAAAGGAAGCAATTAACATTACTGTCTTGCTAGACGAGTGTACGGTTATTTCACGAATATTTTATTTTCTGAAGAGGAAAAATATGTCCCCAGTATCAATGTAGAATGACGTATGAAATAAAAATAAACGGAAGACTCACCCCTTCCTCCTTCGATCTCAATCACTGTTTTGGTTCTCTCCACATCAGCTTCATTCTCAACCGAGCCTAGCATAGACACAACAATGGTATGTCTAGCCGAGGGGTCATTGTAGGACCACCAAGTGGGTATGAAATACCCCGCCACCTGTAGCAGAAAGGCAAAAATAACAATAACAAGCGCGATGTAATCCCATGGTTTTAGTCGCTTTCTTTCCATGGTTGTTCAGCCCACCAGTCATCAGGAAACGACATCGTACGCGGATGTGAAGCAACGCCGGAAGTCGCGCGGGTTTGGAATGTTTGGTGTCAGAGCCATGTTACACACGGTTGTGCTAAGATGTCGGACATGGCGATGATGTGGAGGCAGAGAATCAAAATATCAATACGTTCCCGCAAGGCATCGTGTGATACTGTTTTGTAGAAATCTATTTAATATGCAAATAGCGCGATCGAAGTACCCTCATCCAATATGACTGACACATCAATTCTACGCATTTATGAAGGCAGCTTTAAATTAGGAGACACATATTTGAAGTTCATCACGTTAATATTTTTTTTTCAAATTTTCTGTATACTAATATCATTTCACACTGAAATGAATGTAATAAAAGCTTGTTTAGAAACTTTTTATTTTATCTAGAAATTATTGACATTTTAGATGATGTCTTTGAGCTATTCATCTTATTTTGACCTCCAGGGCACTTTTTTATATGCCATAATTTGCATTCATTTTGGTGACCACACTGCTGATTGCTTTAGAGTTTTTGATGTCATCCAATGTTTGTTTATATAAATTTGTGTCAGTCCTGTTTTAATGTATTTTTAAAGATCGCTTTAAATGAATATTGTATATAACTTTTCATTTTTCTATGACGCAAGCCGCAAACGATGAAAAAATTATTGAAATATCAAAATCTTTTCCCAAACTTCTTCAGTTCAATTTGTTTACACCATGTACAAGATTGTTCTACCGGTATATGTTGAATTCTGTCATTTTAAAAGACCTGTTATTTTACTCTCCAAATCCATTGAAATCGAAGATAATGAAGATGTTTCGCAAGATTTTAATTTTAAACTGCATCTTCAATTGTGCAACTGTACGTATAGATATTTCACACTGAGAACGTTGCAATGAATAAATATCTTTCTTTATAGAATAATACAAGGGTGCGGATGACAATAAATATGAGTTTTGGGGTGTTTTCATAACGAATTTTTCACATTCCTGGTCAGTTGGTGCGTCATGCAAAATACTAGTAAACTTGCGCCTCCCTACACAGTGACGCATGATGTATATTTCCTATTTGATTAGAATCGGTTTTAAACAGATGAAGATACTATAAGTTTAAGAAACTTAATATAGGAATTTTGAGAAAAATTTAAGTCACATAATTTACCAAAGCAATCGATCACATCAAAACGTCCGACTTTTCAACACTAAATACAACCATTTCCATGGATAAATTGTACTCCGAGCTTTTTAACATTGTAGATTGGTTGTTTCAATAAAAATATTAATGACACTCATAACGTCATTGGATATCTACAAAGTTATTTAATAAAAACTTTTGGATTTAAACAAAAGTACACAGACTCTGAGGTTTTTATTCAAAAGGTGATATTTTACAATATCTATCATAATGTAGCTTTTAGGATCAAGTCTTGCAACAAAGTGCATGCTTGGATCCATTGCGGGTGGGTACTAACTGTGTCCCGTATCATGAAATATAGTTACATAATGGAGATAAAGTACAGTATTCAAGCTCAAAAGTGCAGTAAACAATACAAAATTGGAGCAGAGCAAACACGGACCTTTCAAACATCAGAGGTGGGATCAGGTACCATGCATGGAAGAGTGAGCATCCTCTGGCGACCGGTCACATCTTCCGAGTTCTCCTTGTCATGATCGGCAAATAAAAGAAAAAATCCGTTTTCGATTCATTGTGTAAATAATGATCTAACAATGGGTATGAAAAACGTCAGTCAGCATTTGACTCAATGATAAATTGCATTTTTGCTGACAAGGCCATTGAATCGACCATAGAACTTACGAAATAATGACTCTAAACGAGACTGGTGATATTCTTGTTTCATCAACTTGTTTGACAATAATTCTCCTCGTTTTAGAAATTGTTTATACCAAGAGCATGCTCTTGCGTATCGAATCAACTGAGAGATATAAACTCTGTATGCAGGTGATGAAGGTATGTTGCTGCATAAGTAAGGGAAGCTGACGATTGAAATGTTAAAGTCATCACGTTTATCATAAAGCTCGGATGTTAGATTTGCCATTAACGTCCTTTTCAAGTAAAATATCAAAATATAAAATAGATGTGTCCGGTTCTGTTGTCTTTTATTTCAAACTCACCAGGATATATCGTACTATGGACATATGAATACAATTCACACAAGGATACAATTAATCATTATTGATTGACAATACGTCATCAATATATCTAAATGTCGAGTTAAAGGCCACAGCAAATGCTTTTCACGAATAAGAATAGTTTTAAATGCAACATTTCTTGTATGCTAAAGTCGATATAATGATTATCGGTCGACGGTTTGCTTTCTCCTCCATGAAAACCTGATCCCACCTCTGAAGTGTTTAAAGGCCAATGCATGCTCTGCTCCGAATTTATATTGTTCCACAGGACTTTTGAGATTAATAACTGCCGTTATCTTTATATTTCATGGAAGTATTAGAAGTGAAAAACCATTAGGTGTTTGCAGTTAAAGTGCACCAATTTATTAAACAATAAAAAAACAGAAACATGGCAGAAAACTGAAAATAACATAGCAGAAAATGCATATTTAAAATGAACACTTCAATTATAGTATACAACCAAGAGATCTAGCAATAACTAATAGCTACCTGCATCTGTTTAAGACAAAAAAATAATAAAAACATTGAAGCTCACAATACAGTTGCATATTATTGGCTAATGGAAAGTAAAGTTTATCAGTTAAAAATTAAAATACATGGTTTATTATTCAACTTAAAATTGCCACAGGCATTTGCTCATTTAAATAATACACTTGCAAATTAATGCAGCGTACAGACCGTAAACCATGAGTCTCAGCTAATGGAAAAATATTGAAAAAAGACCCCGTTATCTATTTTTTATTTTAAAACATATACAAATGATTAAGGGCAAGTTCCAAATGTGTAAGATAGAACTGTACAACATAAATAAATCTGACTGTATTTGTCAAAAAGAAGATATACAAAAGCACAAAAAGTACAACATTCAAAATGTAATTTATAGAACTGGAGACATAAAACATCTCCCTTTTCCAAGACCAATTCTTTTCAAACAGTGTTAACAACACATCAAGTCAAAGAGAAAGAGAAATTATAGATGCTTGCAAAGCGAAAGCTTGATGAAAAAAGAGAGAGAAAACTCTCCCAAGAGTGGTAAAAAAAATACGAACTCTGATACAACCATTATACCTAAGGGTGACCTAAGCAATAATCAGAAAAATTGAAACTGTGCTGACCAAAGCAGATCAACTTTAAACAACTGCACCACACATAATTACCAAAGTCAGAGATAACTGTACTTCATTTTAATAGTTCTAGCATCATATGGCAAAGGATCAAAATAAAAAGAAAACGGTGTTGGCTGAATTGTGACTAAAACATCTACAGTTGGTTTAAGCAGTTCTACTGCAAGTTACTGTTTATATTTAGTGTTATGAGTTAAAAAGCACATATAAATTTGAACAATCATACTGTCCCAGATATATACATTAATCATGAACACAATATGGTACTACGTAATATGTATACAATCTTAGACTAGAATTGAAACTAAAAAAAAAACAATCTTTATGTAGTTCATTTTTGTCATTTATAAAATGCTGAAAAATTTGCCTTATTTACATGTGATTCTTCAAAATTTAAAGTATTAAAAAAAAACCCCACAAATTTACTTATAATCATGTAAATGACAGGTCTTTCCATGAATAACTTAAGTAGAAATTTTTGCTTTTATACACAAATAAGGATCGAAACGTTGATGTCTTTAATGAGTAAAAAGCTATTTATATGTACATATGAGATTGTTTCTTTTGCTTTAACAGAACCGGGCAAATATTCAATATCCTTGAAATATCTTGTAAAATTGTACGCCTTGCATATAGTCAAAACAAATAAACATACATGTTTCAAAATCATATTGTTTGTCTTATGTACACTGTACACGTTTTTCTAAATAAGACAAGCAAAAATTCATATGTCCCAGATAATTAACTGTATCTTAGTATACGTGTAATTAATTAATTAACAGAAAATGTACATGATACTGAACTAATGCAGCTGCAGGACTGATCCTAGATTTGAACCTTTTCATTTTCAAAGAAATCGTACATCAGAGTAAGTCAACACCGTCAATATATAAGTTTAAAAATAACCGCAAAAAACAGAATTACGTTTAAAAAAATAATCTAAGAGGGAAAAATTAAGGGTACATGTACTGATAATCTTAATTAAGTTCCTTCCTGCATTTATTGCCAATGAAAAAATAACGATGATCTTAAAATACTTGTGTCATCTTGTGACCTATCCAATACATTGTATTTTAATTGTCTGCCCTATAAAATTCCAGTTACGTTGGAGGTACCAATTGGCTAAGCATACTTAGGTGTACGTATAGTTTCCTGTTTACACAAGTTGATTTTCTTGTTTAACTTAAATTTTTTCCACTCTAACAACAGAAAAGCTGAATTATCCAATGATCTTAACCTGATGGTATACTCGTATTTAAATAAAATCAACGATTTTTCTGTTTTAAAGAAAATGCCGTGAAAAATTACATGAAAAAAATCACCATTTTTAAAAAATAAACTCTCTATTATGCTTTTTATGTACACCAAAACTAAATACCCTACCTTACAAATAAAGGTAAAAATGTCTATTTATGCAAGACTGAGATCAGACGTATGGCAAAATACTAATACTATCGGACTTTGAATATATATCAGAGGCGAGATTCTTTTTATACTGCAAACGCACGCCAATGGAACTCATAAAATTGTACATATAAACTTTTAATTAATTCCTACTTGGTTAAAAAAATCTTTCGCAGTCTACAGAAATTATATACTAAACATTTTAATAATTTCCTATGAAGCAGACATCTCAAATATCCTCTGGAATCGTGTGAAGGGGTATCCGAATGGATCTCGATCCTCCGGAATCCTCCGATTCAAAGACTTCGTCCACATACTCATTCATTAGACGTCTCTGTGGGCGATAGATTCTGTGGTTTCGGTAAAACCGGGAACGTCGTGAGGAGCGTCTGTGGGGACTCTGTGGTGGGGATCCAGGGATCTCTGTAGGCGGGGAGTGGCTGACTAAATCAGGAAGTCGGCAAATGACCACATACTCCCCTTCTCCCTCCACTAAAAGAAAAACGTGTCACGTTTTAATAACACATTATACTAGTACGAAACATCTTAAAAGTTTTCCAGGCTTTTTTACGATTTTGATATTTTACATACCAGGAAAACGTCAGAATTGGCGCGATTACGAAATTTAGAAAATTCATCGTCTCTAACCGAAGTGGATTTTTGATACTTGCGAACCGAACTAAATGCCGAAATCAGAATTTATCAATAGCACAATGTTTCTAGTACTCACTAATATCGATGAAAAGAAAACATCACTCCATTTTTCGTTCCAGGACTTGCAATTAAGACAAATCTCGACAGTCTGATAAAATGTTTTCATGGATTGCATATTTTATAAATGAACTAAAAACGACATTGGTAAGTTCTATTGATAACTTGTGAGTTTGACATTTGATTTAGTATAAAGTCAACCCGAAAATGCCGCCTCCGGTTGGAGGCGGCGAATTCCCAGTTTTCGTACTGACGCCAATTCTGACGTTTTCTTGGCACGTAAAATATCAAAATCGTAAATAAAGCAATAAAGCAAAGCAAGGAAAACGTCAGATATTTCGGACTACATGATTACGTGTATTACGTGTATTTTCAAAAATATTTTGAAAACTTACACATGTACTTAAATAAAAATTTGGAAGATTTATTGCTTCAAGGCGTGGAACTAGCTTACTGCTAGTCTTTACTGGTAAGTAAATTTAAATTCTTTTCTCTTTCCCTACAGATAGTGTTTTGCAAAGAAAGATAACTCTAAAATGTTCTCTAGTGTTCAGAAAAATTGATTAAACAAAAAATTGAGGATGGTGTCACAAGAAGAGAGATTTTATAGATTGTGCTTTCAAGTTGCCAATTGAAATGCTCTAGATAAAATTTTATAATACCTGATGAAATACAACATTGTTAACATAAACATGATAAAGATACAATCATATACATGTACATGTTATTGGCAGTGAAAGTGAAAATAAGAATTTCTGTGGAATTAAGGCTAGCTGCAGCACATATTAATAAACACACATCTAAACTGCAAGATGATGACCATGTCTCTGGTGTCCTGCATAGTGCATAATAGCAATAAACAATGAAAGATCTTTGTTCCAGATATGTAAAAGGCACCTTATATGTAACTTCAAGCACATTTATTCATATATGTCTCCAAACTTTAATAAATACATGTAAAGAATTGTGATGTAAAATTCAGATGGCTGTGTAACAAATTCAAGTAAAAACTAGAGACACAAAAACACACAGATAATTGCAACCCCCCCTCCCCCCCCCCCAAAAAAAAAATTAAAGTCACATCTTGATCATTTCGGCATTCTTTGTTGGCACAAAATTAGTAAGCACTGGCTACACAAGATAATAAAATAAGCAAGAGAAACTGCTAAATATTTACCATAATTTCTATTCATTGTGGCTTTTCGCTTCTTGATGCAGTGCCATGACACCAACAGACTCACAATAACAGTCACGACTAGAAAACACAGTACACCAATAAGGATATACGCCAGCAGCCTCCAGGTATCATTTTCTCCCTCCAAGTACAAAAGATCTCTTTGAAATGGAAGTCTTGATGTTACCTTGGGAGAATCATCCACTATAAAAGTCTGAAAAAGATTTTTGATAATTAACATTAATTTGGATTTCTGATATGTATAACCTGACAAATTTTAAATAAACTTCTCCCTATATACAGAGATATATTATATCTGATGAATGATGTCAATGACAAAAAAGGAAAAAAAGATAAATTTTGTCTCATCATATAAAACACTTTTACCGTCGGCTATTTTTTTTTAATTAAAATCTTTCTATATATTTTGAACATATTATACACTACAAGTACTATATACCTTTATAAATATCACAACATTTAGAGATAACATTAGTGATTACTTAACATGCTTAAAGCAATATGTTGCATTTTTGAAAATTTTATTTGGTTGTTAAAATGTGTTATTATGATAAATTTGTATTAAAAACATTTATGATCAATTAGACTAAAATAAAGCAGAAGTAAGACTTTTAATACATATGTATTTTATAAAAGAAATCATTATTGTACACTAATGTAATTTTGAACTTCAATTGGAGCTTATATACCAAATGTGAACAATTAGTTTATTAATGTTATTTTTTCTGTCATTGAAATAGTTATTTACAATTTTGCAACAAAAAATTCTGACATCAAAGTTGCACTCATATTGCTTTAATCATGATTTAGGGTTCATACTTACAAAGTTTAAATGCTTTAGGTCCATACAGACCACATCTGATGTATTTGTGCATGGCGTCCCTGTAATTTGTGGTAGCTGGCACTTAGAACATGGCTGACATTTCTTCAAGGAATTGTCCCAGTATTTTAAATACGTACAGTTCCTCACACTTGCACAAATCCCCACAAATAAAACCAAGATATTCACTTTCAAACATTCTTGTAGCATGGTCACCTGATAATGAAAAAAAAAAACATGCAGTTTACAGGTACATAATATTAACTAAATTTGCAAATATTTTTTTATAAAGAGATAGCTCAATGCACAATTATTTGAACTTGGAATTATTTTGATACTTGGAATTTATTGTTTTCAATAAGAAGTCCTAATTAGACTAATTCAGACAATTAATATGGATTTCTATTGTTTGTTGTCTTTAGAATGACTAACTTAAACAGCTAAAATGAATTTTCTCATAAATATTGGTTAGTCACTACTATCTTTGACAACTAATATGAGTTTTATACCTACATGTACTGAGGGAGGTGATTGAAGCTGAACCAGGTATGAAATTTTCTAACCCTACTTTATCATCCTGTACACTGTCACTACAAAACTATGTAACAAATTTACCCTATCTATGAAATATCTATGTACGATATGTACTCACCTATAAGTCGGTCTGCCTATAAGTCAGTTGTATTTTTTAAACTCATATTAGAGGGATAATCCCCTTAAAATACAAACCTTTAATAACTTGCCTATAATTTGGACAAAGAGTTTTGGACCAAAGATTAACTCCCAAAAAACTGACTTATAGGCAAGTATATACCAGTGTTTTCCCTTTATTTCAAAGTAAAGGGTTAGAGATAAGTTGTAATAGTCTAGGGGCTGAGGTTTATGAACAAAATCTCAGTGGACCTAACAGCAAATTTTTATTTCAAAACGACATTTTTGTCAATTGAAGCGGTCAATTTGGCCGGTAGCCGGTTCTTCTTAGGGAAAATACTGATATACATGTACAGTATTGTCCATGGTTTGTAAAATTGTTTATCTCTTCTATATTGTTTCATCACTCTTACACAGTGCCTACATGTAATATATTAGGGCGAGCAGAAATATTTATACTATTCACTTTTAATCCACTGGTAATTTAGATTGGGCTCATCAAACTGCACGTGACACTTTGTGTGTCTAGACTCTGATGTCAAATGACATCATATTTAATTTGCATTACCAAACCCAAAGACTTAAATGAAGAACATTTATTTTTTATCTGCAATATATCCATTAAATCAAAGTGAGTTTATTTTTTGTTAAACCTTTTTTTGTTATTCTTGCAAAAGTGAAGCATAAACAAGAAGTGCATTCTGGGTCAAAAAGTAACGGTGGAAAAAAAACTGTTTGGATCAGTGTATAAGTTAGAATTTTCTCTTTGCTCAAGTGCTTGTTGGACTCACTGAGTGTTGAAAGAATTTCAGTAAAGTGAGAAAAATGTTCCTCTCATTATTACCTTATCTAACCTTTAATTTAAGTTGTAAACAGTTGCTCTGCAAATCTTATTTATTTCAAGCCAGGGTTTCAACAGAGGTGGGGTAATTATAGCTACAGAGCTAAATATACTGATTATACTGGACCTGTTACATACGACGTCATGTGACGTTAGACTTAAGAGTCTAGATGTACCAAATGCAAATGTCTTGTGTGGTTTGAGGAGACAGATGATCATGGGATCTAAATTTAAAGTAAAATATGTTTCGCTCACCATAACATAAATTAAAAGTGAACAGGTATCTGCACTCGATCTCATAACCAGGTTGGACACAGCCCACTACAAGGTCATTTTACTCCTGTTTGCTGGACAACCTGTTAACAACTTAACAGGTCCAATCCAAAGACTATTTCTACCTATGTAGCTATTAATAGCTACGTAGGTAACTATTATATCAAACCCACCCAAAGTAGCTATTTTACCTACTTTTTGTATTATCTGCATTTTGTGGCCAAAAGACTGAACGGCGCAACATGATGAATACCATATTTTTTTATACAATCACACTAATGATGAATAAGACAAAATTTTGGCCAAAAAATGATAAATATACAAATTAGCAATTAACATTAGTTTCTATGCAAAATTGATAATATACGAAGTAATCATTTTTTGGGCAAATTTTTGCATAATTAGTGTGACTGTATCAAGAATTTTGAGCTTACAACGTTGCGCCATTCTTGCATTTGGCCACAAAATGCATGTAAAGCATGAAGTAGGTAAAATAGCTACTTTGGATAGGTTCAAATACGTACGTAGCTATTGATAGCTACGTAGGTAGAAACAGTCTTTGGACAGTTGGATTGGACCTGGTTAATGGTCGCAACGTCATCAGTTCAGAAATGTAAAAGCATCAGATCTGATATTTCTGGAAAATTTTATATGAAAGATCGAGGTAAAGTATCTTCTAAGGAATACTTACCGAAGCATAAACCTCCTTCAGGTTACCATTATATCACTCTGGTCAAGAAAATAGTCAATCATTCAACCTCAACTCGACCTAAAACGTAACCGGAAAATTAGAGTTTAACAAGTAGAGGAAAGTGAATCCATATAAACAAAAGAATTCCGGAATGATAGAAAAAGCGGGGAATGATGCTAGGAATTATAAGGTGAGTCCCATCCATCCGATTTTCAGAATTATTTACTAAATATTAAGTAAAATCATTTAAAAAAATTAAGTAAATTTTATTTTGACCTCCTTTTCCCGGGAAACATGCATGAATCAGGAATAAATGAAATTAATATTAATAAAAATCCGCAATGGGACTAAATTCTCTATCCTTAAATGTCCGTCAAGTACATGTACACAATACTCTGATATTATATTAAAGTATTTTATAGTGGAAAAGGATTGCCCGCGAGAAATTTTCAAAAATTTCATTAATTAAGCAGTAGTTAATTACAAAAGTTTGCATTGAAGTCTATGGGAAAAAATGTTTTTTCAAAATGAAAATTCAAATAATTTGAATATCCATAAATCCTGCGGTGGAAAGATGCATTGAAACATTAAAAATAGAATGAAAATTGAAAACAATTTTTTTACCAGCTTTTTTTTTTTAATTTTTTTTTTATCATTTAAAAAAGGGGAGATAACTCTTACCAAAATTTAAGGTCATGAATTAGGACACATCCCACTAAACATATACTTATAGTAATAAATGGGAAGTATGTCTAAATAAACTGAGTATTCAATGCCTATACATATCTGTTACGTTTTTAATTTCATTGAATTTGTTCCTATTAGGGATTGAAGACCTTAAGGCAATTCAAATGATCAGCAAAATTCTAAATTTGTTGATTTACAGAGGAGATACAGAAATTAGAATTCTTCATAATGTAAACAAGGCTCGTGCCTTGTTTTTGTTTACACATAGAAAATATCACATTTATAATAAAACGAGATTCAGCATATCATTGGAAATTGTCTAATCTAATTTAGAATTAACTTATTTTTTGAAAAATCTGCTTTGATCGAACATAAATTATATTTAGCCTATGTATACAAAAACGTGTCACGGGCCTTTGTGTAACAAAGATTTTTAGATCTAAATCTGTCTTTTATCTCGACAACTGAAATTCTAATTTCATTAAAAATACCTTAGTTAAGCATTTGTAAATATAAAAAAATAGAAAAATAAATTTGGAAATTTTTAGCTGAAACTGTGTCCATGTACCTTTAAGACACCTAAATGTTGTTAAGACAAAGTTTTAAGCAAAAAAAAAAAAAAACAAAAAAAAAACCTCAATGGGGATGTCCTCAGATCTTTGTACGGCGACCATCACAATTTCACCTTCGCAGATATCTGATTTTAATTAGATAGAGTTTTTTTATTATGATAAATGTATAAATTTTTGTAAAGAATACGACGGCCATTTCAATATATATCTTTTTATCGTTTATTTCTGAAGAGACAATGGAACATTTCAAACAACGACAAAAACAAAGCATATAGCAATACAAATGAATTACGTGTGGTATTACATATTATTCTTTAGTATAACTTTTTAATCATCTACGTAAATACAATTTCAATAAAATGCTGTTATTTATCCATTCAATAAAATAGATATTTCCACAGAATGAATATAATGTACATTGTACATGATGCATGTTAAATTCTGATACATGTAATCATACATAAAATCCAATAGGACATTTATATACTATGTACTATTAGTTTGATTAATCATTTTGTGTTTGAAGTCTCATTTCATAGAAAAGGAATTCAAAATTTAATATAGCTTTGTATATTGCGAGACCTGGTGGAATGTCCATGGGTACTTAGAGCGTTCCGTTATATTCAGACTACCAAAATATTTTACCTGGAAATACATGTACTTCAATATTGATTGTATATTAATTACTATTGACGAAGTTTTCATTTCTTTTATGTAGATAAACCACCATAGTTAATTCATTGCGTAAGAGCGTGTTCTACATGGTGTATGTACAATATTTCTATATCGAGAGAAGTCAAATAAGTTTAGGACACAAGGATATGAACAATCTCGCCTATATTCAATACTTTTCATATTCCATGAACGATACAACGAATGTTGACTGACGTGCTTTCATAAAACAGGAGGCCCATGGGCCACATCGCTCACCTGAACACTGTGGCTAGGAAAAAGTAGAAATTGGTTTATTATTAAAGAGTTTAAATCAAAAGGTAGTCCCATGACCAATCATGGCTTTGCTATTCTTGAGAAGATTTCTATAGAATTTTCCTATATATTTCTATGTAAAACTTGGGTCGGCCATTGTGGCCTTGCCCTACCCCCTGGGGTCATGATATGAACAAACTTCAATCTACACTAACTGAGGATGCTTCCAAATAAATATGATCAATTAAGGCTCTGTAATTCTTGAGAAGAAGATTTTAAAAGAATTTTCCTATATATTTCTACGTAAAACTTTGGTCGGCCATTGTGGCCCCGCCCTAACCCGGGGGGTCATGATTTGAACAAACTTGAATCTACACTACCTGAAGATGCTTCCATATAAATATGATCAATTATGGCTTTGTCATTCTTGAAAAGAAGATTTTTAAAGAATTTTCCTATATATTTCTATGTAAAACTTTGGTCGGCCATTGTGGCCCTGCCCTACCCCCGGGGGTCATGATTTAAATAAACTTGAATCTACACTACCTGAGGATGCTTCCATATAAATATGATCAATTATGGCTTTGTCATTCTTGAGAAGAAGATTTTTAAAGAATTTTCCTATATATTTCTATGTAAAACTTTGGTCGGCCATTGTGGCCCCGCCCTACCCCGGGGGGTCATGATTTGTACAAACTTGAATCTACACTACCTGAGAATGCTTCTATATAAATATTATCAATCATGGCTTTGTCATTCTTGAGAAGAAGATTTTAAAAGAATTTTCCTATATATTTCTATGTAAAACTTTGGTCGGCCATTGTGGCCCCGCCCTAACCTGGGGGGTCATGATTTGAACAAACTTGAATCTACACTACCTGAAGATGCTTCCATATAAATATGATCAATTATGGCTTTGTCATTCTTGAAAAGAAGATTTTTAAAGAATTTTCCTATATATTTCTATGTAAAACTTGGGTCGGCCATTGTGGCCCTGCCCTACCCCCGGGGTCATGATTTGAATAAACTTGAATCTACACTACCTGAGGATGCTTCCATATAAATATGATCAATTATGGCTTTGTCATTCTTGAGAAGAAGATTTTTAAAGAATTTTCCTATATATTTCTATGTAAAACTTTTGTGGCCCCGCCCTACCCCCGGGGGTCATGATTTGAACAAATTTGAATCTACATTACCTGAGAATGCTTCCACATAAGTTTCATCTTTCCTGGCCCAGTGGTTCTGGAGAAGAAGATTTTTAAAAGATACCATTAATTCATAATTATATCCCCTTGGAAGAGGGCTTGGCCCTTCATTTGAAGAAACTTGAATCCTCTTTTTCAAAGGATGTTTGTGGCAAGTTTCCTTAAAATTGGCCCAGTGGTTCTTGAGAAGAAGTCGAAAATGTGAAAAGTTTACAGACAAACGGACGGACAGACGGACTACAGACAAAATGTGATCAGAAAAGCTCACTTGAGCTTTCAGCTCAAGTGAGCTAAAAATGTTAGGTCATAATGATAACATACAACTAAATTGACTACACATTTCTCTGTTAGTCCAATCATAATACGGAGCAGACGACGGATGTAGAGGAATGCCTACGCCTCTATTACCTGATTTTTTTTATAGGTCTAAATTCATTCTGCTCGCAACTTGTGTAGTTTCAATGTTCTAGACTTGAGCCTGCCTATTGTTTTTATCGTGATATTTCAAATATGAACAGACCCCCCCCCCCAACCTTTTTCCTAAAATTTGTCCTACTGTACTCTGCATTATACTCCGCAAACAGGAAAATGCGTCATATTCAGAAATATGTATATCCTCTGTACATGCTGTAACAATATTAAAACGCCTTTATCTTCTTCTGAATATCTCAAAAACAGATGTTCGAAATCGGGGATCGTTGAAAAAGTAGACGAATGGATTGATTACACCATTAAGGATAACAACATCGGGAACGTACAACATCATAATATCTAGACTCCGGGAAACGACCCTGTCTCTCATTTGTGACATTTTATATAATGTTATCAAATAAAACGTGTGTCTTGAAGTGTAGCTCAAAATCAACAGAAAACTGATGATTGAAAACATGACGGCAATTTTGACGTGCTTTCTGTCAACTGACAGTCGTTGACGTCTTTGTGATTTCTGACGAACAGATTGATGACGTTCTATTGTCTCAATCTCTCCGCTTTCCGATTGGTTCTTTGGACAATTGTCTTTTTCTTTGGCTAAATCAGTATTGGCAATCGTTGTTGTGTTTTTATTTGTTAGCACGCTTCGAACTCTATGCTGTTTAATGATATTTCGAATTGTTGTACCTTGTAATATAGTAATAAATATACACAAAATAATTGAGATAACAGCGTAGCCGATAAAGTAAACAACTGGTAAATATGTTGTGAACCTATAATCTTGAACTGAACATCGTTTGGCGATTTTTCCATCCACGGTATATATCTGAAACCCAAATATTAACAGAATAGGTACAGCCAAAACTACTGCTACAGTTACCGAGAGGAGGCAAAACCATTTTGCAGAAGATACCGAAATTTGTTTTCCAAAAGGATGACATATTCTGCGATACCTCTCAACGGCGATTACAAAAATAACATAAAACGACGAACCACCAACAACAAATCCGAGAAAATTAGAAATTTTGCAAACTTCGACAAATTTAGTGGTCTGCATAACATACAAAATTTTTTCAAATTCTTTGGCTATATGAGCAATACAGGTTGACAAATCACAGAAAGATAGAAAGAAAACGAAAATTCGATAGGTTGAATCTTCCACATAATATTTGCGGAAGACATGTATAACTATAGAGTTTCCAGTAACCCCTAGTAGTGATAAGACTAGCACTGGGATATCAAAAGGAAGACGACTAA